CTGCTGAAGTGCTCGGGAGAGTCCAACTAATTTCTAAGTTAAATTCAAATCTCTCTGGTGCTGAAATTACAAGTAACTTCAGCACTTACAAATAAGTGGGTTGTTAGTTAGATGGATCATGATTGGTTAATATTAAATACTTTACATTGGTAAAACATTTAATTTATCCAATCATAAAATATAGTTTAGATCAGGTTCCAACGATTCAAATGGAACCCTCTTTGGTTTTTTAGAAAAACTATCATCCGACGACCAACCCTAAACGTTTTCTTCAATGGGTTTTTATGACTCAATATATACTAACCCTGAATTGAGTTTGAGTTTGTGTTAGATTTGAAATTTTGCAACAGAAACCAGAAAGAAGAGATATCTCTACAATCCCACATAAGCCTAACTCAAGCAACTATCAGTTTTTCAATTAGTAGAAAAGATCCAAATTAGCCAGCTATCTTTCCACTACACAAGTAGCATGGCATGGCAATCGGTCAAAAGAAACATCATTTTACTACGAGCTTTTAGTCAACAAAAATCAATTGGTCGAAACAAAGTTTACAAAAACTGCCAGTACACAAAACAGCAAAGATAGCCAGTAAATATATAAGAAGCAGAAACTTTTCCAACTGCTTTGAAAAACATATGAAAATTGTTTCTCTTAATGAAGTGTCAAGCTTTGTGCGCGCTGTGATGAAAGGTCTATACGAAAGCGTAGAATAATAACAATTTGAACAAAAGTTGCCACCAGTTGAAAAAAAAACTTTAAAAAATGTTCGAAATTTTTTTCTAAAAATGTCTATGAAATTTTCCTGATGATTTTCTTATTGATTATTTGAACTTCTTCAATTATTTTTGGTGATACTTGATTTTTCATTGAAAGAAACCAAAAAAAAACCTTGACAAGTGTCGCCTTCTTTTTTTACCCCAGCTACGTGTCGTAAACTGTTTCCTCAATCTGAATAAATGAATGACAGCCTCAAAAACTTCGTAATCACTTCATTAAAAAAAATTTCTGCTAAATTTGCTATTTCAAAAAGTTTTGTATAACTTTTTTCCCTTTTGTTAGTCCTCTTTTGTCTTTTTTCAGTCTTCCGATTTTTACAAATTGTCAATGGTTGTCAATAACGCACAAGTTTTTTTCCATATTTCCAGATAAAAAAAAAACCGTTTAAAAAAGTTTTTTGATTAAAAAGTTTCTAGACTTTTTCCAGGCTTGTCTTGTAACTTATTTACAACTAGCCAGCCCGTCCCGAGCCAGTTTCAAAAAATTCACTGGGCAAGCATTCCAGATTTTGAAAATAGGCATTTCTCATGTATTTTCTACGATTAAGCGATTGACAAAAGTTAATTGTTTGAGCAAGCCGGTGGAGCTATTTTAGTTGTAAGGTTTTAAATAACGCGATACAGTTCGCAAGAATCAAAATAGTTTGCGGGAGCCAATCAGGCATCAAAAATTTGATTTTATTAAACTCATTTAATATGTGAATTAAAAATTTTTTGAGCAGATCAAAAGGTCCTTTAAAATTTTTCACACTCTTTCTAACAATTTCAAAATTTTTTTTAACTTGAAGTTTGTTTAGCATACAATTTAAGCAATGAAACCTTAACAATTAATTTTTATAGCAAAACCATTTCAAGCTAGGAAGTTAATTTTTTTCAACCAAAGTATTGATGCTGAAAACTTTTGAGTTACTTCGGTATTTTTTGGCAACGGTTAGGTTATTTCTTAGTTTGGTGTACTTCGCCAAAAATTATATCAATATTATATCGGAACAATGAACTTTTGATGTAATTCGAAGTTGTTTATCCCAGCTTTGATTGCTTCAAGCAAGTCAAGCTATTTTTTCAAGAAATCATCGATTTGATGAACTTTTGAAAAGCTCGAAGATGTTTTCGTTGCTTGGATCGTATCAAAAAGAAGCCATTTCAATAGATAAGATTGCTTTGCAGCAACACTCAGCGTTATTGAAGCTTAATAGGAAGCCATGAAACTTTGAAACGTTATGCAGTTATTTTGGCAGTTTGAATTACTTCGCAAAAAAACCTTCAGGTCATTCCAGCAAGTTAGCTAATCAATGCAACTTCTAAATACGCAGTTTTTCCAACAACTTGAACTACTTTTCAGAGAAACCAAAATTTATCGAGCTAGCTGTTGAAGCAATGATCGTTCAAGTTAGTTCGAGGTTTTTTGTAGCTAGGATAGCTTCGCTAAAGAATAAAAAACATTCCAGCAAAGTGATGAGACGATTAAAATTAGAAGGAAATCAAGATTATTTTCCAAGGTTGAATTGCTTCACAGAAATTGTACAAATGTTTGAGCAAACTGTTGAAGCAATACGATTTATATTTAGTTCAAATTTGTTTTCTTAGCTCGAGTCGCTTCGCAAGAAAACTGAGGTTAGGCAAGCAGGCATTTAAGCAAAGAATTTTCGAATTAGAAACAAAACGTTCTTCACTTCAATAGCTTGTTTGAATCTGTTTTTTTATTCTAGTTTTAAAAAATATTCGTACCTTAGTTTCATCAGATTTGCACAAAATTCAAATTTCAACAAGAATAAAAAAAGTCGTGCCAGGTTAATTTGATTTACAAAATGATTCTATTCAGGCAATATTCTGGTGAAAATAATGGCAGGTACTGTCTTGGCGTGAATTTGATTGAAAATCAACATGCTGAATTGGCGTTGTCTAAAAATCTATATACTCTACTGTTTGAACTATTGTTGAAAATAATACAAGGACATTAACCGAGCGTATACACAGTGCGCCCGGAGGGTTCGGCGCAGGTTCCAGGTTCGAATACCACCGAATTTGCGCCGAACTTGACGGAACATAAATTCACGCTCAGTAACCGGAGTCGAACCCCCCAAAAAACTTTTTCTGTTTTGTTTAGCTATTTAAACTAGTTCATAAAACGACCTTGGCCGACCTTGATTGGCAGGTTTTTGTCTGTCAATAAAGCCATGTTTTGCCAAAGTGTGAACACACACACGCTTAAAATCGGTGCTGTTTAAAGTCGAAATTAACAAAAAACTCTATGTGTTTGAGCCGATTAAACTACCCTGTGACGGTTTTGACTACATAGTCAGGTGACTACCCATTGCAGTTTGTGGGTGACTTTCTGTGTTGGGAAAACTACCCTGTGATAGTTTCGACTACCTGTTCGGGTGACTACCCCAGTGCAGTGTGTCGGGGCAACTCCCATACCCCGTTTTTGTGCGATCTCGTCGAGATAATCAAAACCTACCAAAAATTAGCATTCTTTGTCACTAATGTTTGCTATCAATAAATGTGCTAGATTCTTGACGTGGATTTCTTTTCCGATGCTTTTCTTAATGATTTCTTGGCAAAACACGGTTGCAGGTACTAGACTATTTTTTTGGTAAATTCTCGTCATCAAGTAGTAAGTCTGGTTATTTTGTGAGTTTTTGGGCCAAGATTTTGGACCCTAATAAAAAAAACGAGTGTTATAGTTTTTTGTGCAATTTTGGGCTAAGATTTTAGACCCAATTTGTTTGAACCTGGTAAATGTCATTTTATGAAAAACTGCAAAAAACTGAAAAAAGTCAAAAATGGACTTTTTACTGGAATTTTGCGTAGAATCTTGGCTGACACAAAAGCGATTGAAATAAACAAAACTAAAACGACAACATAAAAATGACTAGATAGATTACCCCGAACAAATATTGTTATTCAGTCTTTCTATTCAAGACCAGAGTTTTACACCAACCAATTGCAAGTGATCTAAATTTTTCTTCCTGAAGGTCTCATTTTTCTACGTGACCAGTTTGAAGATACTAGTTCTGGGTGTGAAAAAAAAACAAGTTTACACGTATTGTTTTCAAGTTTTCTATGGAGTGAACAATTTTTTGAATAAACAGAGGCGGAAGAATTCACCATTTCATGTGAAAAAATTTGTAACGAGAAAATTCCTTGTGACATTTTTTCATAACTCTGTTGTTTTGTATACTTTCACACCGTTGGAAACTACTCTTATAAAGGATGAAAAGGTCATTTTCAGACCCGGAAAAACTGGTATATGGTATATTTTTAAAATTACAGATTCCAAAGTGTACTAATCTCAGATATTAGGATTTTGGATCTGAAAATCTACAGTCTATAGAAACAAAACTGAAAAAACTCAGATAATCCTTAAAATATTACTCATTACGGTAAAAGTACAAAAAATTACAAACTTTCAGAGAGATAAGTTCAGATAAATTGCAATTGGTCGATGTAAAAAATTTGGTAAAAATCTAACTCATTGTTGGCCATATTTTATTTCAGGTTAAGCGATTGAAAAAAAAACTGCTGAGAAAACCGTTTGGGACTACAGAAAGTGTTTGAGACTAACGCGTTTGAACTAAACTTGGTCACTTTTCTGCTTCTGATTTGCATTTGAGTTTTTTTGCCAAAAAAGAAATTTCCTTTTCCTTAGAACATTATGCTTGAGATCAATAATTTTTTTAAATCTAATTAAATTTTGTTGTCAAAAGCATCCTGAAAATTAAGCACTATCAAGAGTAAAATGGTATATTTGCTAATAATTTTTCACTGTATATTTTGCAAAGCTTTTGATGATGCGTTTTCAATGTTTTCAAGTTTAATTATTACCACAAGGTTTTTACGTTAAATCTGGCTCAAACTCCTTCCTGATCTCAAATGGGCGTCAAATTGTTGCTTAACCATTGGTCTTGAATACAAAGACAGAATAACAATATTTGTTCGGGGTAATCTATCTAGTCATTTTTATGTTGTCGTTTTAGTTTTGTTTATTTCAATCGCATTTGTGTCAGCCAAGATTCTACGCAAAACCCCAGGCAAAAAAATTGTTACTTTACTTCATTATCACCAGTATCACAGATTTATCACCATATTTGTTATCTTCCAAAATCTCTACAAACAAACTAAAAGTTTGGCATGCTTGAGATAAGATACAATTTAAACAAGTTTCTTTTTAATACTTGGAGGAGTCGCCCGCATTGAAAAATTTTTTCCAATACTCTTACCTACTCTGAGTAGTTTATTGCACGCTGACTGAACTGGTTTCATTATTAACTTGTAGAACTCATTCGCCAATGTTTTGTCTCTGGATATGCCATCCGATAACAACCTCTTTATTCCTTGGACATGTTCTACGTCTTCTTTGCATATTACCGCTTTGAAAGAAGCTTCTTTTTCCTGAAGTTTTGAGCTCCTGGTATGGTTGGCATAGAAGTACTTCTTTTCTACAGTGAAATTACTAAGCTAAAATAAAAAAAAACATTTTTGTCGTATACTGGCATCATTTACATGGTTTTTTCGAAATCATAAATAAAACATAAAACCTGTTCCCAAAAAATTATCTAACATTTCATCTATTTTAAAAAAAAACTTTATCTTCAAGAAGCATATCTTTTTGATAGATCGCCATCTTACACCCATTGCCTGTTTCCAGCCATCTAACGTTTTAAATTTTTGCATACCCAAATACATTTTTTTAAATATGACTTTCATTTCATAAACAATTTCAGTTTTCCATTCCGAACTTAGTTTTCCAAATACGATGTTCTATAAATACCAGGTTTTTTAAACTCGATGTCAGATGAAATTGAGTTTTTGGGTCCTTGCGAGTAAAATAAAGTATTATTAATGAGTTTTTAAAATTTTTTCGGATTATTCAAAAAAAATTCTGAACTGAGTTAAAATGGGGCATAGCATGGAGTCTAATGAAAAGGTCCAAAAATTAGCTCATCATAAAAATTAAAGGTCCATTTAAAATATATGATCAAGTCGGTCCTTTTGTGATCAATATATATTTTTTCTTAAAATATATGATCAAGCTCATTTTGACTAGCGTTTTGTAGAAAACTCAGAAACTTAGACTATGGTAGGACTAAGCTATAGGAGACAAAAAATTGAATGCTTATTGCAATCAAATACAAGATTGCAATCAAATACAAGTTTTCAGTCTCTGTGTCTAGATCTAAGTAATTTCAGCATAAATATGATCACCAGCTGATTTAGGGGGGACGCCCCTCTGCCCTCAGGAATTCGACCCCCTGCCGACCCAAAGGGTCTTCCCTTTGTACTATTTTGACAAACACATTTTTGGTGACGGACCATAAATTTTTTATAAAAGCGCCTTTGGCGCTAATATATAATAACTATGAGGTGGGAGCGCTGGCCAAAAAATCTGGTCAAAATCTGGTCAAAATTTTTTTGGTAAAAATCTGCAAAAATTGCCTAAAAACACCTTTTTGGCCTGTTTTTTTAAAATATTGCCTGCCTGGCAGAAAGTTTGTTAAAAATAAGGCCTCTTTAGTGATTTAGGAGAGCTCAGAAAATCAATTTGATCGACCTAAGAAAAAGGTTGACAAAATTGTTACAAAAATCATAAAAATGTGTTTTTTTCATCAGTTTTGAAAAAAAAAATTTTTGTAAACAGTGAGCAGTTTTTCTCATATTTTCATCCGCAATAAAAATCGAAAAAAAAATGTTTTCAAAATTTTGTTTCTGCGGCAAAAATCGTTTTATTACTTTGTTTACTTTGTCCTGCTGGCATGTTTCAATAATCGAAAAACAGCAATTTTCAAAAATTTTTCGCTAAGCATGACCTAGAAAAAATTCAAAAGAGAAAATAGAAGGACCATTTTACCGCGTCCTTCATACTTAACATTTTTGAGGTGTCATCCCTGATCTTTCAAGATTTTAAGAGGCATTTTTTTTCTTCAATTTTTTATGATTTCACTTTTTGGTAACCGCACCAAATACACATTTTCATGATAAATGGATTGATTCGAACTAAAGTTACGAAAACAAATAAAATTATCAGGTGAAGAGCAAAACGTTGATGAGCGGCATTCTAGGAAAAAGAAAAACAAGTTTAATTTGTTTTTTTTTTGTTTACAAGCAATCAAAAACGAGTTTTTTAAACGCATCGCTGCAAATTTTTCCAGGGGTTTTTAGAGGGTCTATTTATAATGAAGATGTTTACTTTATCCATGTTTAGACAAAATTACGGGTCAAACTTTGCTGGTAAGTGTGCTAAAACGGAAACTGTCGGAAATCCTTCAAGATAACTAAATGCAAAAAAAAAGATTTTTTTTTCATACCTGGAAGATTCTAAGATACAACGCGAGAAGACAGAAAGAAACGGCAACGAATATCAAAGAATTTTTTTTTCGGCTAGACATAGCGCTTAATGAGTAGAGTAACGACAATAAAAACGATTAACAAATTTTTGCCATCCCATTTTTGATAATGAACCGCATACGTTAGACAAAAAACTGGCAGACAAAAATAGGCACACTTGGCTTAAAACTAGGTTAAACAATAATCGCATTGTATTAAAATCGCTCCCAACACAAAGTAAACTACTTTAACAAAAAAGTTGGATTAAAAAAATTAAAATCAAGTTTCAGCCTGCGTAAAATGTTTTTGTGATAAAACATGATCTCAACAAAACAAGTTATTTAAAAACTACAGATAATTGTTTTCAAAAAATTCATTATTCAGATGCTTTTTGTATCATTTGTTTCATTTAACAAAAACTTAGAAAAAGTTAACAATTTCACCTGATTTTGATCAATAATCAATTAGAAAAATTAATTATACATTGATTCGGTTCTCCCCACAATTGAAGAAAAAAGCTAAAAAACCAATAATAAATGGTCATAAAAAACGAATAAAGCATGGCGAGCAAATTAGGAATAGCGAACACCTTGGTTTTTCAAATTGTATCACAAAAACACACAAGAAATATAATCGCATGCATTATAATTATGAAAGTGAATGCATTGCTATGTAGGAGGAATGTGACAAAGCGATTTTTAAAGCGTATAACAAGGCTACTAATAGTAATTTAGTGATGTGTCGATATTGAAGATTTCAAAAATACTTTTTCACCAACGAGGTTATGAAAGTACATTCACTCAGGTCACAAAACAGGTCATAAACTGGAAATCTGAAATGAGTTTCAACCGCTTTAATCTGCAACACTCAAACAAACTCACCAAGTCTTGTTTATGAAGTAAGCGATTAAAGAATTTTATCGAAGAATTTCATTCAGTGTGTAGAATTGGTGATTCTACTGTATTACATGCTACAAGGCTGATTTAAATTATCCGGACAAAACAAACAAAACTTGAATTTTCAAACGCGTTTTTCTCAAATTGAGATAAGATTAGACAAAAAGTGAAGAGAACAAAAGTGAAGAGAACAAAAGTCACCAGAAAAAATGTGCTGCCATTTCTTCTCCAAAGTTCTCAACAAAAATTTTACCCCAAAAATGGGTCATTTTGGCTTTTTTCAATTAATCAAGAATTACGTTAATTGATAAGAAAATTATATCGCAGGAAGCCCCTTACGCAAGTTAACAAAGTTTAAGAAGAGTTAAATCTCCAAACATTTGCGCAAATTGGTTGAAATTTATTTTTAAATAGAATATGGGTTTTATATAGTAAAAATCACATTTATTGACTATCAAGTGAAATTTTTTTCTCTTATACTAGTTTTTGGAGATTTAACCCTCCTTAAACTTTGTTGGGCTGGGTGAGGGGCTTCCTTTGATATAATTTTCTTATCAATTAACAAAATAGTTTCAGCGTAATTCTTGATTAATTGAAAAAAAAAATGACCCACTTTTGGGGGTAAATTTTTTGTTGCGAATTTCGGAGAACAAATGGAACAATATTACTTGTGGTGAAATTCTAAGCAACTTGTTTTCTTCACTTTTTGTCTAATCTTAACCCAATTTGAGAAAAACGCTTTTGAAAATTTAAGTTTTGTTCGTTTTGTCCGGATAATTTAAATCAGCACTGTATAGTAACCGGCACGTAAGATCAGTAAATCTTTAAGTTGAGTAGTATATCAAACAAAAGGGTCAAGCTCAAAATAATTCAAGTTTGGAAGATGTCGTCCCTTCCATGACAGAAATTAAAATTTGACAAACTCGGCGTTAATAGCCTTTCTACGGAAAGAGTGATAATGGACCTAGGAAGTGGGATAAATTGTGAAGTATTAATGGGATATGAATGGAGTTTGGTTATTAAAACCCACATCGGATTCTGAACACAAATATGGACGTTTGACGCCGGTTGACCCCAGGGTGACCTTGAATTGACCTTTGGGCGTTTTGACCCAAAAACTGCATAGAAAGCCCCGAGATTAACTCCGGAAAATGGCGTATTTCCCAGCCCAACTCCTGGAGATATGAACCGTTCACCTTGCTAAAATTTGGCAAATGATCTGTTAAAAACAATTCAACTAGACTGAAGAAAATTAATCCCAGTACCAGGTATCTAATAAGCGTGAAACGATTCATAAAAAAATGAACTTGGCACGTGGCAGAGCTGACAGGTGGTGGTAAGTTTTCCTAAAACGTGTTCGGACGGATTATCTAGGTGGACGCCAGGACTAAAACTAAGTGTAAAAACGATAATTTATTAGAGGGTACCGGAGAGCCTTTAAGAGTCAGAACAGTTGTTAGCTACTACTAAGGGTAGTTGGTTCTCAGCTAGTTAAAGAGAACAATTATTGCTAGTGAATCGAGTAGTTGGTTCTCGGAGTAGGAGAACAATTATAGCAGAAACAGTAGTTGGTTCACTCTCATAAGAGATTTTCTAGAGATTTAGAGAGAGAGAGAGAGAGAGAGAGAGAGGGAGGGAGAGAGAACAGTTTAGTGTTATTGGAACAAGTGGAAGTCAAGTTAAAATCAGACAATTTGGCCGATAAATTGCTGACCCTTTCCTTTTGATTTGATTATTAGATTATAACCTGATCACTCAGAGCCTTCTGTAACTAGGCGAATACTCATCTGAATCAAATTACAATTGGAAATTCTTGCGATTGTATTGAGTAGACAAGACAGCCTGAGAGCAGTACGCATGAAGGGGCAAGCAATATAATACAATACAGAACAGTTGTCACCAAATAACCTGCGGTGTCGTTTGGAAAAAAGAACGGAATTTTTGAAAAAAAAACAGGCCACAAATGGTTTAAAATAAGGCTAAATTTGAATTTTTTCTGAACTTCAAATTTGTTTTATTATAAGTTATGTACTTATTTACTATTTTTTCACTCAGTTTTTTTTTACATGCCGGAAAATATACCCCACAACCCCCCGTTTAACCCCTACCCTAAAATTACCGATTCTGGCGGGCGGTGGGTCGGGGTGTATATTTCTGACCTGAAATGGGAGAGTTTTTGTCGAATGTGCTTTGTGTTTGGGGTAAACGTGGGTGAGGGGAGCTGTAAGAAGGATGTAGGGTCAATGTGGGGGACGTGGGTGTATAGCGGGCGACGTGTGGGGTAGGAGAAAAGTAGGGGTTGTGGAAGAGTTGGACGTTGGGGGGGCATAGTTCGGGAAGTGGGGTGGGTTCTTGTGGGTGGGGGGACGTGGGGGACGTTGGGGGTTGTGAGCCGTGATTGATGAGATGAAAGTGTTCATTCGCGTTCAAAATTTTTAGAAAACTGTGAAAAGTATAATAAAAAAACGATTTCGTTGGTCGAAAACAAATTGGATTTTGGTAAATTATAATGGATTTTGTTTTATGAAAAAAAACTATTACGGATCAAAATATATCTTGCTGTCTAAATTTATCATTATACTCTAACTTAAGGTGAAATTCCGTTCATAGTTAATTTGACAAAAGATTTGTGACCTAGCGTGAAATCAGCCTGGCATTACTGCGGCAAGCTTGTATTTTACAGAAAAGGGGGTTGCATTTCTCCGCATTCAGCAATTTCATATCTTCAATAAAAGAATACCAACCTAACAGATTGTTCATATATGAAATTTTTTTGCTCATTTTAAAATATAATTATGTTTGTTTTTATGCTAATTTCTCTGTGAAAGTTCTGAAACAAAAATAATTTTTTTTGGAACTCGTAGGTTTTTCATCTTGATCTCAAATATTTGAGGTTAATTTTTTTCTGTTTTTGAGAAGAACTTTGACGCCATCTGATTTTATTGTTCCGATTTGACGCTTTATTTGCATCATTAAGATATCGGTCCTACTTGCATGTTTTAATCAGTCGATTTGATTTTTCGTACAATTTTTTCATTAGGTTATGCTGATGGTTTTACAATTATTTTATAAAACTTTGCTAAAAACTGAATGATGCTGCTCATACTTTTCTGAACCAATCTTTGAAGTTTCGTTTTTATTTCTATCCAATTGTTTTTACATAACAAGAAAAAAAATCAGCTACGCGATCTAAAAGTATCTGTAGTAAAGTATTCTGTTCATCTGCAATTCACGTTGGGCGTTATGGATTGAGTCATTGTTCTGAATCTTTTTCACTTTAAAATAAGGTATAGTATACTGTTACTGGTCTCATTATTCCTGTACTGAGCTTTCGGGGTATGGCCCAATTAAACCGATTAGCAAACCTAAAAATCCCGGATAAAAACCCGCATTAGATTTGCATGAATAAAAAGCGATTATGATTGAGTTTTCTTGTCAGTGTGCACAAAAGTGAAAACAAATCGTTTAAAATCAATTAAAAAATGGATTATAATATTATGATTTTTCAAGGCAACAAAATCCTTTTTTCATCCATTATAATCGATTTTTTTTTTCACTTTTGTGGACACTGACAATGAAACTAAATTATAATCGATTTTTTTTCCACTTTACTGAGAAGCGAATTTCAACGCACATAAAGTATTTTTTTTTGTTTTAAACTGAATTTGGTTACGTTGGTTACTTTTTGCTCAATTTAATTTTTTTTCCACCTAACTTTGATATTTTTGTTACTTTTTTATGTTACTCAACATTACCCCCCCCCCCTGGCGTTTGCCCATTTACAACAATCCCCCCCAACGTAACGTTTGGTCCACAGTTTGGGAGTGGGGTTCAAGTGGGGGAGGAAGTGGGTTCAGGTGGGGGAGGGGGTGGGTTCAGGAGTGGGGAGGGTTCAGGTGGGGGAGGGGGTGGGTTCAGGAGTGGGGAGGGTTCAGGTGGGGGAGGGGGTGGGTTCAGGTGGGGGGGAGGGGGTGGGTTCAGGTGGGGGGGAGGGTTATTGTTCAGTTGGGTGGGGGGATGTTCAGGTAGGCGGGGGGGGGGCTGGGGTTTGGATGGGGGTTCTGATTTTGTTTTATAAGGCATTTAGGGGGGGTGGTTGTTCAGTTGGGTGGGGGGATGTTCAGGTAGGGGGGGGGGGCTGGGGTTTATTTGGGGGTTCTGATTTTGTTTTATAAGGCATTTTGTTTTGGCGAGAAAAATGGATTTAAATCGATTTTTAGTCCAATTTTGTTGTCTCAACGTAACATGGGAATCGATTATATTTACAAAATTTTTGACCAAGAAAATCCATTAGAATCGATTTGTTTTTACTTTTCTTTTATGCGGGAAAACTCTCAAACTATTTAGGTCGATTGATTTTTGTACAGAATCAAGAGTAATACCTGATTGCCCACAATTTGTAATCAATGTTAATTAAATTAATTTTGAAAAATGGCGGTATTTCATTTCTCGTTCTTTTTTGTTCCCGCAGTGACAAAAATTGATAAAATCGATCATCTACAGAAAAATATACAGATTTTAGAAAAATTGTAATTCGTTTTTTGATAGAGTATAACTACGATTATAACCATTAGATAATCGAGTAGAGTTCAATTTTTTTTGCGATAGTCAATTTTTTATAACCACTATCAAAACACAACAAATTTGGTTTTTCTTTGTCAATTTTCACACAGACTATATACAGTTTTTTTACAAGTTATCTACAGATTATCTAAAGATTATCTACAGGTTATTTTTTATGCAGATAACCTACATGTTATACACAGATTATTTACATATTATAAACATGTTTTATACATGTTTCATACACTATAAAATTGATTAAGTTGGCATAAAATCCATTTATTTTTGGTGGAAAAAAATGAAATTTTTCTGTACAGAATTGATCATCGTTCGCAGAATGGTTGTAGAAAAAATGATTGCGTACTTTGGTTAATCTGCAGATTTTTCTCTATATAATCGATTTTTGTCCGTTTTTCTC